AGACGGCCCAAGAGGCTTCCAAGATCGCCCCTACATAGAGCGCCCAAGAGGCCTCCAAGGTGACCCCAGGACGACCCAAGAGGCCCACAAGATGGCTCAGAGGGAGGCCCCAGACGGCCCAAGAGGCCTCCATGACGCCCAAGATGGCCTCCAAGACTGCCTTGAAGCGCCCCACGAGGGCCCCAAGACGGTCCACAGAGGCCCCCAAGACGGTTCCCTACGGCGTCAGACGGGGCAGGAACGCCCTAAGCCAGCCAAAGAGGCTACGAACACGCCCCTAGAGGCCCCCAAGAGGGCGAAAAAGACCCCCAAGAGGCTCCCAAGAGGCTTCCAGGAAACTCCCAGGATACGCAAGAGTGCCCCAAAAGGCTCCCAAGAAGTCTACTCCTCCTCCGTTCCATCCTCCTCCTCCTCCTCCTCCTCCTCCTCCTCCTCCTCCTCCTCCTCGTCATCCTCCTCCTCCTCCTCCTTCTCCTCCTCCCCCGCCTCCTCCTACTCCATTTTCCTTTTTCTCCTCAATCTCTTCTTCCTCACGTCACGTCTCATCGATGGCTGCAGAGGGAACACATGGTCCGATAGCTTGGCAGAGCTCTAGCCCAACTTTGAGAGAGCGTGATCCACCGCCGCTTTACTGTGGAAAATTGCCAACTTTTTCCTCCGGAGCCCGGGGGTCGCCCCGCCCCCCTCTCGAAAATCCCCCCCCCCCTTGCTGGAACCCCTCCCCCCCCCCCCCTCTCCCCCGGCAAAACCCTCCCCCTCCCCTAACCCCCCCCCCCCCCCTCCCCCTCGAAAACCGGGGGGGGTCACTACCGGTTCGAACCCCTCCCCCCCCCCCCCTCCGGATCCGGAAAACCGGGGGGGGTCACTACCGGTTCGAACCCCCCCCCCCCCTCGAAAACCGGAGGGGGATCACTACCGGTTCGAACCCCTCCCACCCCCCCACTCACCGCCAGCAAACGACTCCCGGTCCCTACCACCGTCCGCATCACATCCTCCACTGTTGTTCCCAGCACCACTGTCCTCACCACCACTGTCCCCACTGTGTCCCCACCAGTGCCCCCACCACTGTCGCACTGTCCCCACTGTCCCCACCACTGTTCCCACCACGGTTCCACTCCCCACTGTCTCCACGGCCCCAACCACTGCCCGACTATCCCCACTGTCCCCACTGTCCCACTGACTCCGCCGCTGTCCCACTGAGCTGTCCCACTGTTCCCACCACTGTCCCCACTGTCCCCACCACTGTCCCCACTGTACCTCTGTCCCATTGTCCCACCGCCGTCCTCGCCACCGCCTTCACCACTGTCCCCACCACCATTGTACCCTCCACTGTCCCACTGTTTCCACCTCATTCCCACTGTGCCCACACCACTGTCCCCACCACCACCGTCCCCACCACTGTCCACTGTCCCCCCTGTTCCCACCATTGTCCCCACCACTGTCCCCACCACTACCGGCCCTCTACTGTCCCACTGTCCCACTGTCCCCACCACTGTCCCGCTGTCCCCTCACCACTGTCCCACCAACACCGTCCCCACCTCTGTCCGCACCCCCACTCGGTTTTCGAGGGGGGGGGGGGGAGGGGTTCGAACCGGTAGTGACCCCCCCCCCCTTTTCATGATGAGCTGGGGGGGGGGGAGGGGTTCGAACCGGTAGTGACCCCCCCCGGTTTTTCTGAGGGGGGGGGGGGGGGAGGGGTTCGAACCGGTAGTGACCCCCCCCGGTTTTCCGCCAGCAGCGGTAGAACACGCTCTTTCCCAATTTTCGGCCACATGGTCGATTCCAAAAGGCTGGGGGCTGCGGTGAGTCGCCGCAGGCGTCTTCGATCCGCCGCCCCCTGTTGATTTATCGCAAGGGTGTCCAGCGCTCCAAATGTCTGATGGTTTTTAATTATTTTGCAGACTCTTCGGGGGGCTTCGGCCCAGCTCGCTGGCCACCCAGACAGCTGCTCCAGACCGAGTTGCCAACGTTTTTCCTGCTCCAGATGGCTTCAAGATAGCCTCCAAGACGGCACAAGAGAGTTCAAGATGCCTCCAAGTTCGCACAAGAAGCCTCCAAGACTGCCGCAGACGGCCCCTCAGGCCCTCAAGAGGTCTCCGAGACGGCCCACTAGGCTTCCAAGAGGTCATCCAGGAGGACCCGGCAAGGCCGAAATCATTGATTTGTAATGGCTTTGGACGGATTTTGCCCTTTGCTTTTTGTTTTGTATTCCGACGGCCTAAGACGTCCCAAGAGGCCCCCGATATCGCCTCAAGATGGCCCCAACGGCCTGCAGGATGACCCCGTGACGCCCCAAGAGGACTTCAAGACGGCCCCAACAGGGCCTCAAGACGGCCCCCTAAGAGGGCCTCAAGACGGCACAAGAGGCCTCCAAGACGCCAAAGATGGCCTCCAAGATGGCTCAAAATGATTCTAAATTGTTTCCCAGCCGGCACAAGAGGGTCCAAGATGCGTCCAAGTCTGCCCACAAAGCCTTGAAGACGGCCCAAGAGGCCCCCAAGAGGCCTCCAAGACGTCTCAAGAGGCCCTCCAGGAGGGCTGGAAGAGGCCAAAATCATTGACGTCCTCCAGTTTTTGAAAGGTTTTGCCCTTGGCTTCTGTTCTGCCTTCCGACGGCCCAAGGCGGCACAAGAGGCCCTCGATATCGCCCCACGATGGCCCCAAATGCCTCCAAAATGACCCCGTGACGCCCAAGAGGGCCTCAAGACGACCCAAGAGGCCTCCATGATGTCCAAGATGGCCTCCAAGACGGCCTTGAAACGCCCCAAGAGGGCCCTGAGTCTGTTCAGAGAGGCATCCAAGACGGCTTCCGACAGCGTCAGACGGGCCAGGAACGCCGTAAGACATGCCAAGAGGCCTTTAAGAAGCCCCAAACGGCCCTCCAGGCTTCCAAGAGGCCTCCGAAAGGCCCGCAGGAAGCTCCCAGGAGGCCCTAAGTGTCCTCCTCCTCCTCCTCCTTCTCCTCCTCCTCCTCCTCAGCCTCCTCCGCCTCCTCCTCCTCATCCTCCACACCTCCTCCTCCTCCTCCTCCTCCTCCTCCTCCTCCTCCTCCTCCTCCTCCTCCTCCTCCTCCTCCTCCTCCTCCTCCTCCTCCTCCTCCTCCCCCTCTTTCTCCTCCTCATCCTCCTCCGCCTCCCCCTTCTCCTCTATGGTTCCTCCCTCTCCCCCGCTTCTTCTTTCCCCCCGCGTGTTCACCGAAGGGTTTCCACAACGGCTGGGGGAACACATGGTCCGATAGGTTGGCAGAGCTTTGGCCACAACGTTCGGCCGCATGGGCGATTCCAAAAGACTGCAGGCGGCGGTGATTCGCCATGGGCGTCTTCGATCAGCAAACGCTTAGCCTGGCGAAGGGCGCAACCCTCTGCAGTCACGTGTAGCGCAGGGTGCGGCCCTCTCTTCATATATTGCGCGCCGCGGGGCAGTGCGGATGGGGGGCTGCTGAGGAGTCAGGGCGCGTAGGGGCGATGAACTCCTTGTTGAGCACGGCCCGCGTGAAGGGGGGCGCTGGAAAATCTGAATTGCATCCGCGGGAACACGTCCACTGACATAGCAGGGGGAGCTTCCTGTGGGGCACGGCCCGTGCGAGACAGCCGAAATTTGCGGGGGGGCGGGGGACGCCATGCGAATCTGCTCATTGGTGCCATGGGTGGAGCTCCTTCCGTGACACGATTCGCGTGAGGGGCGTGTTGGAATGGGTGGGGGCATGCTGTGCACGCATCGTCTCTGGAGCTGTGGGTGGTGCTCCCTGTGGAGCACGATCTGCGTGAGGGATGTGTCGCAATGGGCGGGGGAGGGCGCTATGCGAGCCCTGTCTCTGGGGCCGTAGGTGGAAGTCCCTGTCCATCACTATCCGTGTGATAGGCGTACCTCAATCAGCGGTGGGGCGGGATGCGAAGCCTGTCTCGGAGGCAGTAGGTGGCACTCTTGTACTATGGGTATCGATTTGTGTGGAAAGGAATTGACTCTCCATATTGCAATGCGCCGCCTGCAGTGCCCAGGACCCGCTTGCGTTGGCTGTTGCGAATCGCCGTCGCAAGTCCTCGATTATGCTTGCTCTGACCAGGTGTGAGTCGCCATCGCTGGCGATTTGAGGCACTCGGGCGTGTGACCTAACAAGGGGGAATGGGGGACACAGGACAAGGAGAAAGGAGGAGGAGGAGTCAGAGGGGGAGGCTGATCCGCATCAGAAAGAGGCCCAGGCCTATTTCACAGACGAGCAAGAGAACATCCGCAATATATCAAATAATCGGCGGCCATTCTTCACGATGGCCTCCAGGGGCCAAACACCCAACCAGACATTCGAAAACCCCCCGGGAGCTCCCAAGAGACTCTTCTCTGCCCGGTCAGCGTTCTTGTTGCTTTTCAAACCATGTTGAGACGATTCGTGGGTACGTGCATGAGTGCACCCGTGAACATGTCAATGCGTGCAACCGTCACCTTGTCAAGGGCTGGCGTTTGCTAGAACCTGAGCGCGCGAAGCGCGCGCGCGTGGTTCTAGTCTTATGTTGGCGAGATCCTGGGCAAGAGAAAGATGTCTCTCACCCGCGCCAGTGCAGTTCGCCAGTTGAGGGTCTGAGCCAACGTAGAATGTACGCTTGACGCCTCGCGTACCCCAGCCAGCCCATCCCGGAACGATGCCCCGTCTAGATATCTTGGTCAGGACACCTCAGAAGTATGCAGAGAAAAAAGCTTTGGACCAGCCTGATCAGACCCAAGACGACCACGATAATGAGGAGGAGGACGAGGAGGAGGACGATGACGAAGACAAGGAGGATTGGGAGGAGGAAGAAGAGGAGGGCGAGGAGAAAGAGGACGAAGATGAGGAGGAGGAGGAGGAGGAGGAGAAGGAAGAGGAGGAGGAGGAGGAGGAGGGGGAAGACGACGAAGACTTCCCAGCCATCTTCCGTAGCAATTCTGGCTTAAGGAGGATCGAGGCTCCCCGGACCCCCCCCTCTCAAGCCACACGCCACACCGCGCCCGCTCCGCCCGCGGCAACGGCCATGGAGCGCACGATGGTGGAGCGCTGCCTGCGGGAGTGGGCGGCGGAAGTGCGCAGTCCGTGCGAGGCGACGCTCTACCTCCAGCGCATACCGACTGACTGCTCGAAGGCGTCGCTGCGGGGCCTCGTCGGCAGGGCGGGCTTCGGCGACGCGTACGATTACCTGTACTTGCCGATGTGTTTCCACACGAGGAAGAGCAAGGGGTACGCGTTCATTAACTTTGTCAGCGAGGACGCGGCGGAGCTGTTCATCCAGCGCATGGACTCGTACCCGATGGGCGACGGCGCTGCCCTGAGCGTGATTCCCTCCCGGACCCAGGGCCTGGGGGAGAACATGATCATATGGGCGCGCTCCCAGTCGCGCCGCGTCCGGAATCCGGACTTCCTGCCATACGTTCGGGCGCTCGATGGGCTCGGGATGGTTCACCCCTCGGAGCTGTGGTCCCGCGGGCGGATTGACGAGCCCAAGCTCAAGGCGGCGGGGCCCGACACCTGGGCAACCGGCGCGCGCGCCAGCGCCCGCGCGGGGAGCGGCGGTGAGCCCCCAGAGGAGCAGTTCAAGCTCGAGATCGGCGAGATCGGGTGCGAGGGGTACGAGACCGAGTTCGGACGGACAGATGCGGGCGGCTTCACCTCCGCCGTCCTGGCCTACGGCCTCGCGAACGCGGTCGTCCTGGAGCGCTTCAGCGTGTGATCGTTGAGCGTCGCCCTGCCATGTACAGAGTCGGCAAGCAGGTTGTCGGTGGGAGCTGCATGGTCTTGCATAACAAAGCTGCATGTCTTCAGCACAGTCGTCTGCTGTGCTTCTGGGTTTCCAGTCGATTTGGTCGGACATGCGTTTCGGCCAATCGTTGGATGTGTCGAAATCTTCTTCAAATCCTCCTCCATCCTCCCCCATCCCATGTCCCACCCTGGCACTCCCTGGTTTGAACGCCCCCTCCCGGCCACACCGCACCATGAGCCGCGCAATTTTGACGTGTGTCTGGCATTTTGGTCGGGACCGCGGGAGTTGCGCGCTGACCGCAAGCCGCGCACCGTTGACGTGCGCCTGGCTCCTGACTCCTCTCATCCTCCTCCTCCTCGTCGTATTCCTCCTGTCCCTCCTCGAGCTCCTTCCCCTCATCACCCTCCCAGTGCCGCCCGCTGGCCCGAGCTCCATGGCCCGCCGCAGCCACGATTTCAGTGGCCTTACGAATACCCGCACTTGGGGCTACCATGGGTACTCCTGTTCCGCGCAGCCAGGCATAGTTGACCCCGGCAATTGCAATAAGTCACCGTTCTCCCTGGGGCGGCATATGAACGCCGCCAGCAGTGGTTTGAGACCAACCATCTCTGCGCTTGTGGCTCCTACATGGAACCCACACAAGCAAGTCGCAATCAGTGTTTCGGCTCCCTCTCCCTCCCTCCTGTCCCTCGCTTCGTCCCTTATGTCTTCATTGAAATCCTTCCCTGTCTCTCTTTCCCCAGCGTGAGACGTCTCACTGGTGAATCTCGGAATGTGAATATCGCACAGTCGGTACTCTACGAGATTCAGAGCGCCACTGAGCTCGAAGCCTTCTCTGTACAAGAGCGCCGACTTCGAGTTCCCATCACCAGTTGGCTGGTCATCCAGGGGTTTGCCACGGAGGTGGTCCGAGGATCGGAGAGGGAGGGGGAGAGGTAGGCCATGGGGGAGGGAGGGAGGGGGAGAGGGAAGGCATCCCGCCTTGGGGCAGGCGATGCCGGCTTTTTCAAGATCCCTGCCGGCCTTTGCTCTGTCCCTTCATGCTTCCGTGTCCTCCTCTTTCGGGCTTGCCTCCGCTTCCTCCTCACCCCACTCTTTGGCGTCCAGCCTTGGCCTATAGATACTGACACTTTTTTCTCGAGCTCGCCGCCGAACCTGGCCTCTGCAGGTACCAATGCGCCGTGGTGCAGTGGTAGCTGCCTTTGCGTATTCGCGTCGTCATACTCTCGTCTTCCTCGTTCTCCTCCCCTCCTGCATTTCCGAGGAAGGAAGTGCGAGGGGTGCCAGGCCTTCTCTCAGAGGGCGTCGGGGCTTCTCGGAGGCCCCCCCTGGCCTTCTTCTGAAAAATCCCTTGGATGGCTACGGAGATCGAAGGCTTCGAAAGATTCTCAGATGGCATCCTCCTCCTTCTTCTCCTCCTCCTCCTCCTCCTCCTCCTCCTCCTCCTCCTCCTCCTCCTCCTCCTCCTCCTCCCCCTCCCATCATGGGGATCATGGGGTACGGCTCCCCACCTCCACGCATGCAGCCGCATCTGCTCCCGCTGCGGCCATGAGCAGCAGACTGCTCGTGCACCTTCTAGAAAAAACCGTGGCAGCTTGTGCGGCAGCAAACCGGCTGCCCGTGGCTGTTCTCGCACGCCGCTCTTAGCATGGCTGGCTTGGCTCACGGGGCACCGCTGTGCTCGAGTCTGGCCTTTCGGTCCGCCAATGCGCTGGCCAAGAGTGTCAGAAGGAGAGCATGGCCGCCGCCCCCCGAGCACCCTCCTTCCCCTTCAGATCCTCCTCCGCCTCTTTGTCCCTCCCTGTCCTTCCCATCCCCCCCAGGCTCGAACGGGCCGCTACACTGCGTGCTTGGCATGAGGCTTTCCGCGCCCCGCGGCCTAGCTTGCAGCCGGGGCCTAGCTCGCTCGCTTAGCTCTGTCCTTCCTTCTCTTCTGCACGTGAGAAGGATGGCCCCTGTGCCTGGCGAGAGGCCCGGCCAGCAAACGGCGGTGCTGCACATGCGGTTGCCCTCGGAGTGGGAAAAGACTAACTCTGCCAGCCATCTTGAAGTCTTCTGGAGGCCCTCTTGGGGTCCTCTTCGGGCTCTCTCTTGCGGCCATCTTGGAGCCATCTTGGGGAGATGTTGGAGGCTACTGGGGTCCTCTTCGGGCTCTTCTGGGGAGCCCCAAAACCCTCTTGGGGGGCCTCGAAGGAGTCTTGGAGAGCCTCTTGGGGCCATCTTGGAGCGCGTCGACCAGGGGGGTCCCCGATGTCGGTCCCCCCTCAGGGACGCTCTAGGTGCCTCTTGAGGGGCTCTTGGGGCCATCTATGGGGGCTCCCAGGCTCCTCTTGGGACTTTATTTGGTCATCTTGGGGCCAGATTGCGGCCTCAGAGGCTCATCAGAAGCGGCAAAGCGAGACGGCAAAAATCATTGTTCCCCCTCGCGTGTGTCGAGGATGTTGGCTTCTTCGGGGGGTCCGTGGAGGGCTGCGAGAGCGGTTGGAACCATCTTGTGGCTCTCTTAGGGCCTCTTGGGGGCATGTCACATCAGGACATCCCTGGCTATCTTGAGCCATCTTGGAGGCCATCTTGGAGCATCGGATGTCATCTTCGACCATCTCGGGCACTTTAACCTCCCCGTCCGGAACCCGCACAACCTCAGGAAAAGGACGGGGAGGGTACCCCTCCGACTCCCCAAAGGGGAAGAAGGCTCGGGAAGAGGAACGAGAAGCACCGTTAGACCACTTGCGTGACCAGAGGGTTGGTGGGATTGTTGCTCTTGTTTTGTATTGTCCTTGCGAGACGGTGGTCCCCGGAATGGACCAAAAGATGGTCATACATGCTGGAGGACGATTGAACATGTTTGGCGCGCGTATAGAGTGCACAGGATTGGAGCCAGGTCTCCTTTCTGAAGGCTGCGGAGATGCTTCACTCTGACGCGGCGGGCTATGCCCAAACACCGGGTGTATTTTACCATGTGCCGCACACCGTGCCCCCACCCCATAAAACTTAGCCGAAATCCAGCGTCATGTTTGGACTGCATTTGATGTGACCGCGCCCCAGGACAATGCTCGCACGTGTTGGCACAGGCGAGGGTAAGTCTTTGATCATCGGCATGCTCGCCGCCTTCTGCGCCAAGAAGGGACTCAGGACGCAGCCTTGTTCTGTTGCTGCGTTCCGCCGGCTCCCGTACCCCTACGCAAGTGAGTTCGTTATCATTCGCTTCTGGCCGATTGAGGAACGCCTGTGGTACAGCACGGTGCCACTTCATTGGATGCTAGCGTTTCCGAAGTTTTCCCTGACAGTAGTGAGGTTGCGTCAGAGCTGCACGTCTGCGCGCGTGCGCGTGTGCGCGTTGCACGCGCCTGTTTGTGGGTGGGCGCGTGCATTTGTGCACTTCCTTGTACCATTGTGGGCTTGATGCTGGGCCTGATCGTGGTGATTTGCATCAGCTGCCTCAGGGCACACGTCGTCAACAACGACCGCGTGCTCACTCGACGAGATTTTGCTACCAACGACAAGGTCTGCCTGTTGTTTCGGGCGTTACTCGTGTATTCCCAGCGCGCTGAATCCAGGTATAAGCATGTAAGATGCAGGGTCCGTGGCGATCCGGCCGATCCGAGTTGACATCGACATTAGCCGGCTCGATCCGGTTCGATTCCGACATTCTGGCGATCCGATGCGGCTTGGTGTTTGCATGGCGCATTTGTGCGTTTTGGTGCGGCCGATCCGATTCCATTTCCATGTCGTGCAAATGCAGCCCGATCCGACTCACATGCAGCTCCGATCCGAATGTCTGATTCGATGCTGACTGCTCTTGCACATGCTCCTTGAGAGGGGAGCAGTTTCGTATGCCAGAGCCTGATGGCCCAGCTTCCATCTGGCAGGCAATGTGGCGCCAGCCAATGCCGCACGTGCCACCCCTGCGCGACCGCAGCGAAAGTCGTCAAGCTGAGTGCGTGCCACACTTGCAATATGTCTGCCCAGTGGGCCAGTATCCCTGGTGGTTGTCTTTGCTTCACGTGCCTTGCAAATGCTGGCACAAGAGCATTTCAGATTCGACACTCCCCTGGCAGCACGACTGCTCGATGCTTCCTCAGTGAAATCCATTGCCCCCTCCCTGACCATTCAGAATGTGCCTTCGCGTTTTGGAGTGCGCAAGTGATGCCCTCAGAGTCGTCTCGCTCAGCTCCGGAAGTTCTATTGGAAGCCCGCCTGAGCAGGTATGCCACACGATTTGAATGAAAGCCGCTGCATGTTGCAAACACCGCTCCCAGTTTTTCCGGGCACTCGGAATTAAGGCAAGCCTTGACATGAAAGACCTCAAGAACAAAGAAGCCAAGATCGTCTACATCACTGGCGCCGACATCGAAAGCGAATGCTTGAACAGGCGCGTGTCTTCGGCGAGAGGGGCAGACAATGGCAGCCTGGCAGGGTGCACCGTTGACGGTGGAAGCGAGGGACGGCACAGCCAGCGCGCGTTGAGGCAAAGCGGCTACATACCGAGATCCCTGGGTGAATTCGGGTTAGGAGAGGATGAAAGGGGCGGGGCTAAGACGAGGCTAGATCTGTTCCAAAGCGTTCTGGGACGCTATGAGAAGGCCACGGTGCCCGAGACATCCTCCAGAGCCGCTGGATCTCAGAGATTCTCGATCTATCGTCACCCAAATTCATCTTCGTCATGGCTTCGTCTTAAATGGAGAGGATGAGGAGGTGAATCCAGGAGGATCGACGGGGTGTTCCAAATAGGGCCTCGCCTTCGCGAGACCGAGAAGTCGACATATCTCTTGTTAGGCGGCGGAAGGCCGGCGCGGAAGCTGGCGGAAGTAGAACGGCGGCGGGTCCGCCAGCGGAAGCTGGCGGAAGTAAAAGGATCGCCCTCGGGGGACGTGCGGTCGGCCTCGCTCGCGCTGTGCGCTGGGGATGGCCCCCTTGAGGGGCACCAGATCCTTTCTTCTCCTCTGCTTGGCTGCTGGAGACAGCATCGTCCTGGGCTGTCTTCGCAGATGACCCCCTGCAGTCCCAAGGTGGCGCTTCTCTTTGTGAGCTGTGGGCTCGTGCTTGGGATATGTCAGGCCCTTCGGGGGCACGTGTGATATCCGCCGCTCTGGACAGTTTGAACTCGCCCATGGGTGGTCGCTCGCTTTTTGTTAGAAGATTGCACTGAAGGGCTATGGGAAGCATGCGCTGTCTAACAACCCACGCGTTTGTTGCCAGACTGTCGACTGCTCAAGGATTCCGCATGGAGCCTCCTGGAGAGCTCGTTGTCAGCTTGTGAGACTCCACAAGGGATTTGATTGCCTGCGATAGTTTGCGCTTCCTAGTTTCAAGATGAAGAGATCGGTTGCAAATGTATAGGCCAAGGCTCGCGCAGAGTCCTCCTATCTTGTCCGTGGTGTGCGCTGTATTGGTTGGTTGGTTGATTCTACGAAGCCGGGAGCAGATTGGATTCATACGTACCCATCTTGTGGCTGTGCTGGGGCAGTGTTGGGTGCAATCTCAGGTCATCATGAGGCCTCACAGGGGCATCTTAAGCCCTCTGGGGCTATCTTCGGGCCATCTCGGGCAATCTTGGGGCACTGTTGGGCCATCGTTCATCGTGGGCGACTTCGGCGATATCTGGGGGCCTTTGAGGGCCACCTCAGGGCTGCATTGAGCAATCTCGGCAGCCCTGGGGGCCACCTTGAAGCGATCCGTGGACATCCTTGAAACAACGCATGGGATATGCATAACAAGTTGAAAGCACTATGAAACATTATGCCATATTTGTTCGCCCTCTCGGTGCCCTCCTGAGCCATCCTGGGGTCATCTTCGGCCATCTTGGGTCTTGAAGCCGTCTTCGGAGCCTCCAGGGGCCGTCTTCGAGGTTCCTTGGGCCGTCCTGGCGTGCGGTGGCGTCCAATAGGAATCCTGGAGACAGGATAACAAATTTTTGGGGGACTCTCCTTCGGTCTTGTTCACGGCCCAGGCCCCCAAGCAGGAGATGTTTCTGTTTGACGGCCTGGGCCCTCTAGTAGACAGCAAAATGGAAGCAGGAGTGGAAAGACAAGCAACACATGACAACATGCAGGCAAAGAACTCGGGGCCGCCCAATAGGTGGGTGATGACTAAGGGGGTGGATGTCATGGCCGGGGCCATGATATCTCTTCAGCTTTCATGGCCCCTTCCTTCAATACGTAACCTAGTGCCCCCCTTTATCCGCGCACGTGCCTCGGGCCATGATTTGCGAACACCCCTCTTGGACGCCCCCCGTCTGGATGCCCCCGACTAGTAGCCAGTAAAATGAGAGCAGGAGTGGTTAGGCAGGAGACAGAGGACAACACGCAGGCAAAGAGCACAAAACAGCAGCCCGGCAGACTTTACAGCCCGGCCCTCCCGCGGGGGGATCGGTGGCGTTGGGAGCGCCGCCGGATCGGGCTTCCCCAACGGCGCTTGGAGAGCTGAACGGGCCGAAGTTCTAGGCCTCCTAGATGGGGTCGGAGCAGATGGGGTCGGAGGATCGCGCCGCATCGCCGATGCATCGGCGATGCATCAGCGATGCGGCTCGATGTGGGGCACAATTTTCTCCACGCCGACGTCGCCAGTGCATCGCCGACGTTGCCGGTGCATCGCCGATACATCGCGGATACATTGCCAATGCATCAGCGATGCGGCGCGATCCTCCGACCCCATCTGCTCCGACCCCATCTAGGAGGCCTCTAGAAGTTGTCCGCGGGCCACCTCGAAAGTGCTTGGGAAGCCAGATTACTTGTAGAGAGGCTTGTGGAGGGATTCAAAGACTCCGTGCGGATTGCTCGGATCGGCACTGGGGCCTCCCTGGCGGCGCCTCTGGCGCCGCCCCTGGCGCGCTCCGCGCTCCAAACAGGAGGGTCCAGCGCCGATCCGAGGAAGAAATCCGCGCGGACCTCCGAAAGTTTATGTGTATGTCATTATCTGTTCCCGAAGATAGGCCTGTGGGGAGTCCTCAGGCGCCTTCGGGAGCCGTCTTAGCACAGTTTGGGTTCTTTCGGCACCGTCGCGGCGCGGGAGTGACCAGTCCTAGAGCCGGTTTGACGGGGTCTTGGAGCATGTCGAACGGTCCAGTGCGGCCCAGTAGCAATTTTGAATTCGCCCGTTGGCGCATTCTTTCTGTTCGAAGCTTGCGCCGAAGATGACCTGAAGCGTGCATACCCAACAACCCCGTGCTTATGTGTGCCCATACTATCGACGACTCGGTGTTCTTGCATGGGGTCGTCCCGGCAGCTCCTTAGGTTTCTTGAGCACTTTCAATGGTTCGGTGCCCCCCTGGAAAAAACACGGCCCAATTGCTGGTGTGTTGCCGACAAGCCTCGGATCACCAGCAAGCCTGCAGTGACCAGTAAAGGGTGCCTGCCATGGCCTGTGGCAACGACAAGGCCGACGCCCCACGCGGTTACTATACAGATGCTTGACACATGCGCAAATTGGGGGCCATACATTCAGAACGTTGAACGAAGGACTACTTTGGGCTCGGGAGGGGCTTTGGTTTTCGGGCTGCTCCTCAGATCCAGGTCGGGAAACCTACTCGTTGCCGAGGCTCGCCGTGGCAAGCAAAGGCCACCCGTTCCTTATCTGAAGTTCCTTATGGTCGCGCGATGACTGCAGTTCGAAGATTACAAGACCCATTCAACTAGCAGCATCTGACAACGGCGGGGGGCTCTTAGGGGCCCAGGACAGCTTCCGAATGCAGGTAGAATGGGCCCCGAGACCGCCCAAGATGGTCTTAAGACGGCCCAGCATGTCCGAAACACAGCCTGAGGGGTCCTAAGACGGTCGGCTCCAAGACCGGCCCGAAGGATCCCACGACGCCAAACAGCGTCCCAAGAAAGTTCTCAAGATCCTCCAGGCAAGAACCGTTTATTATCTATTATAAGGCGTCGAGACATGTTGACAGCATCGCCTTGTCGGTTGTAAGGACGGTCAAGACGGTTCAAAAAGCCTTAAAGACCGCCCCAAGAAGGCCCCCAAAGGACCTTCGAGATTGCGAAGGCCTGACGGCCAGTGCCGCCGACCCTGTTCGCAATGCGCAGCAAGAGGCACGGGCTGTGGGATGGTTTGGGGGAACGGGGAGAAGGACGAGAAGGTGGGGGAGGGAGGTGTCGTATCTGACCCGGGACTTCCCCGGGACTCCCCCGGGACCCCCCCCGGGACCTCCTCTCCCCCCCCCGTCGGGGAAGGGAAAGGGAAGGGGCTTCCCTTCGACTCAATGACGACGTTGCTCAAGGTCGGTACGGGGGGGGGGCGTCGTATCTGACTCGGGGGGGGGGTCGCTACCCCCCCCGCTACCCCCCCCCCCCTCCCGGCGGGGGAGGGATCAAAGGGAAGGGGCTTCCCTTCGACTCAATTACGAGGTTGCTCAAGGTCGGCTTGGCTGGAGCCCAGGGGAAGAGGAGTCCCAGGGGGGGGCGTCGTATCTGACCCGGGGGGGGGGGTCGCTACCCCCCCCCCCCTCCCGGCGGGGGAGGGATCAAAGGGAAGGGGCTTCCCTTCGACTCAATTACGAGGTTGCTCAAGGTCGGCTTGGCTGGAGCCCAGGGGAAGAGGAGTCCCAGGGGGGGGCGTCGTATCTGACCCGGGGGGGGGGTCGCTACCCCCCCCCCCTCCCGGCGGGGGAGGGATCAAAGGGAAGGGGCTTCCCTTCGACTCAATTACGAGGTTGCTCAAGGTCGGCTTGGCTGGAGCCCAGGGGAAGAGGAGTCCCAGGGGGGGGCGTCGTATCTGACCCGGGGGGGGGGTCGCCCGGCGGGGGAGGGATCAAAGGGAAGCTGGAGCCCAGGGGAAGAGGAGTCCCAGGGGGGGGCGTCGTATCTGACCCGGGGGGGGGGTCGCTACCCCCCCCCCCTCCCGGCGGGGGAGGGATCAAAGGGAAGGGGCTTCCCTTCGACTCAATTACGAGGTTGCTCAAGGTCGGCTTGGCTGGAGCCCAGGGGAAGAGGAGTCCCAGGAGAGGGGGGGGCGTCGTACCCCCGGGGGGGGGGTCGCTACCCCCCCCCCCCTCCCGGCGGGGGAGGGATCAAAGGGAAGGGGCTTCCCTTCGACTCAATTACGAGGTTGCTCAAGGTCGGCTTGGCTGGAGCCCAGGGGAAGAGGCCTCCCAGGGAAAGGGAAGGACAGAGACGACGAGTACAAAGAATGACGGAGATGACGGCTAGAACGGAAAAGCCCCTCACACACGCCGACAGGGTCGGCGGATTCCCCAGCTGGCCCTGTGACCGCCCGAGAGGAACCCAAAAACGGCTGCTCAAGTGACGGGACGGCCCAAGATGGCGCGGAGAGCGCTCCAAGACAGCCCCAAGAGTCCCTCAAGACGACCGCCAAGTTCCTATGGCGGCCCAATCGGGCCCCGAAACAGCCTAAAGGGCCCGAAGAGAATCAAAGAGAGCCCCAGGGGCTTCCAAGAAGGTTCAAAACCGGTCCAAGGAAGCCCTTACGGTTCAGCCAGAGCGGACTTAGTTTTGCATCCATGGCCAGCCAAACATGTTAGCGTTTCCACAGCATTTGATTTCACATGCTCCTGTCAAAGCAACGTTTCGCCTGAGAATTCTTCACCACTTCTGATCTTGCAGCCTCAAATCAGCGACAGCTGCGCGGATGGAGGACGGGCTGTTTTCACAATGTGGTTGTAGTCTTGGCGCCACACACCTTTCGGAGACCAGCAACATATGTACGCGTACGCGGTTAGCTTCCCCTGGAGTGCGTGTCAACGCGGACGTTCGTGCAGGAAAGACCGCGGAGGGCGTACATGTACATATGTCGTTGCTCGCCCAACCTTCGTTTCAAAAGTTCGCCAGAGCTTCACGGATGGAGGGCACACCGTTTTCCAAAATGTGGTTTTCGCAATGGTGACGCGCATGTTCGTTTTAACAAGTTTTCGAGAGCTTCATTGATGGAGGGCGGTGCTATTTCAAATTGTGCATCTCTCCACAACGCCACGCACATTCGTTTCAACTGTTTGTAACAGTTTCGAAGATACCTGCCTGTGGCTGACGTCCCAGAATTGGTGTTTTGGCACTGGTACTACCAGGGCGCGACAGTCACGTTGATTTGCGGTGTTGACGTCCCAGACCTGGTATCCTGGCACGGCTTAGGATCGCCAGATCGCAGTGACAACGTTGATTCGCGGCGTTGAAACCCCAGGAATGGTGCTCTGGCACGGTTGAAGAGATTCAGACGGCTGTTTTCCAACGGGGCTCTCCCCGCAGTGGAGAGAAAGCCTGATAGGAGCTTGTGAAGAGAGAGCTTGGAGGGAGGCTTGCCTGCAACATCGTAAATGGGTCTTGCGTTTACGCTGGTCGTCGATTTCCGCCTCCTCACCCTGACCCTCCCCTCCTCTTCCTTTCTAGTTGTCCTCCTTCCGCATTATCATTACCCGCATTCCTGCATGTTCCTACTCCTTCTCGTGATCCCGTTTCCTCCGTCTTCCTCTTCGCCGCTCGTTTACCAACATGCCACATTAGTGCGACAGGAAGGTCTTGGGATCGTTACATTTCACGCCCTGAAGCATTTGAAAGCAGTGTCCGGCCCTGGGGTACTCTTTTTTTCTGCTGAGGTAGCTTCTAGGGGCTCCACTGTCTGGATACATGAGCTCTTCTCAATGGCAGGAAGCGGCCGTGACTCGCCGCAGGCGTGACAGCCACCAGGATATCGTTCCCTCTGCGGCCCAGAGGCGATGAGAAAGAGCACATCGTACCCTCCCATGGGACTCCAAGGGACGCCAAAGGACCGAGAGGGCCCAGCGGCAACCGCGATGGTGCTGGTGCAGTACCCCCAAAGCTAGCAAAGTCGATGGCACCAATACGTCCTGCCCCGCTGTGGTACCCAGGCAATACATCAGGTTTTCTTTATTTCTTAAGGCGAAGAGGCAGTAAGAACACACATTCACCCGAACACCTACTCATTGAGATTTGTTGTCTTTGGGATTGCGGCATATCCCTGCCGCCCGTGACCGCCTCAACGTAGATCCGCGTGCCAGGATGATGCGAGCGGTGCGGGAAGCTAACACCGCGGAACACGGGTTGGAATCGGCACTGGGTATTGTTTGCGGGTCGTAGTGCTGAGGGTCCTCTTGCGCCCTCGCTCCGCCATTTCACACCGCTGCCAGTCTAGTCGACGGGGAGTTCGAGCAGCACGAGGCCGCCCTTCAGGACACGGTGCTCATCGTCGATGAGGCCAGGCGCCTTGCGGGATGCCATCTGCCCAGAGGTTGGCAAGGTTGGGGCAAGTCCCGACTAGGTGGCAATCGGGTTTGATCATATTGCACGCGAATCTCTTGACAATCAACACCGTCGGCGACCTCGCAACGGAGCCCCAGTTCTCTGTGTCTGGGCGCTTTGACATGTCGCGTCGATAACAGGCCGCGTTTCGGGCATCCACCCGCATTCCCTGGAACAACTTGCAAGGGTGTAGGTAATCTTGCATCAACTGAATTCCGTGCGCAAGAGGTCCACTCCGCCACCTTTGTCTGCCAAGCATGGGCTTCGCGATGATCGAAAAAGCTTTCTGGGATGCTTGCCTATGATGGGTTTGTGGTTTTGACTCTCCATAGACTTTGCGTCTCTTCACAGAGCTCTGGCGCTGGACCCCTGGTCTCTCAACACTGCTGCCCAGATTTGGATTGGTCCTCCGAAGTCAGAAGGGGCGCCCCAACCCTCCGAAGGAGCATCTAGATGTGTTGTCTGCCAGTGGTGGCTAGCAGCGGAAGTTCCGAGAGCCTAGGACAATCCGATGTTGGCATTCCGTTCGGAATCAGTTCTCGAAGCACCCCCGCTCCATTACACGCTTCGTCCAAGCAGTCTTGCAGCACCTTGAGTGAGTACGGTTGCACGGATATACCTCGCAAGTTATACAAAAGCATATTGTGAGCGCAGGTCGACGGCCTGATTTTCGACGGTGGCACCACCACCACCAAGCATTTCGCCGATCGCGACCTTGGCGACATGGTCAACGAATGGTTGACACAACTCAGGAAGCACATGCGCGCATCGGGAAGCACAATGCGGTTGCATGTTGATTGTTGATTTACGTTTCAGGTCTAGTTCCGTCTCTATTACACATACGTTTTATTTACAAGTCTCCAGTTGATCCAGACTGTTCAGTTTCATTGTGCCCGCTCGCCCTATGTGCCAACTTGTATTAGCGCGGGTTTACACATACACCCGTGTGTTCAGTTCAGTTTCTTTCGGCTACCATGTTATGTCGTCCGCTCGCTTCTTCTGGTCCCCTACTGCTCCCAGAATTCCCTAACTCGTTTGATGTTTTGGTTCTACAATGGCCTTGCCCTCTATTACATGGAATGCTGACATCACGTGTTTCAATGTGTTTCACCGTGCACCTGTCCTGTTAAGATGTCCTTATTTGTCCCAGCCTTCCTGCTGTGTGGGGTCCTCGTTCTGAAGAGACAGCGCCCCGCGTTCCTTTCCTGCTCCTCCTCCCCCTCCTCCTCCCCTCCCCTCCTTGCCTTTACCCTCCACATGTCACTGTATCAAAACACCCTTCACACGTTTCGTGGCCCCGTAGGGAGCTCCACCAAAGGTTCCAGTGGCAGCTCACGCATTCGGTTCCACGCCCATTTCGGCGCACCCCTCACACGCTTCGTGGCCCCATAGGGAGCTCCACCGTGGGCTCCAGTGGCAGCGCACGCATGCGGTTCCACCTTCCAATTTCGGCGCACCCTTGACACATTCCGTGTCCCCATAGGTAGAGCCACCCAAGGCCCCAGTGAGAGCGCCCGCATGCGGTTCCACCCCCATTTCGGCACACCCCTCACACGTTTCGCGGGAGTTTCCCCAAAGGCTCCAATGGCAGCGCCCGCATGCGGTTCCGCCCTCCATTTCGGCACACCCCTCACACGTGTCGTGGCCCATTGTGGAGCTCCACCGAAAGCCCTAGTGACGGCGCCCGCATGCAGTTTCAGCCTCCATGCCAGCACACCATTCACACGTGCCGTGGCCCAATAGGGAGCTCCACCGTGGGCTCCAGTGGCAGCGCCGCATGCAGTTCAACCCTGCATTTCGGCGAAGTGTGACTCCATAGGGAGCTCCACCGAAGGCCCCAGTGGCCGCGCCCGCATGCGGTTCCACCCCAACTTCGATGTACACTTTACACGCTTCGTGGCCCGATGGGGAGCTGCACCGAAGGCCCCAATGGCAGCGCCCGCATGCGATTCCCCCCCCATTTCGGCGAACCTCTCACATGTTTCGTGGCCTCATTGGGTGCTCCACCGAGGGTCTCAATGGCCCCTGTTACTGGCCCCCTCCTTCACTTCATTTCCCTCGCGATGCGCATGGCGGCCCCGCCACATTTCGGCACCCTTCCCGCGCTTCGTGGCCCGATATGAGGAGATCCTCCGAAGGCGATGCTCACAACAATTGTATTCACAACTGCATATGGTTGGGTCCTTCGCCAGGCTAATTGTTGGGTGGGGGCAATTCCTTTGCATTTCCAATACATCCTGTGGTGTTGGGTCACCGTTTTGAAGAGACAGCCCCCCGCATTCTACCTCCTCCCCCTCCCGTCCGCATATCTCTCTGTGTGCAGACCTTACACGTTTCGTGGCATCCTAAGGAGCTCAACCCAAGGCGCCAGTGGCAGCGCCCGCATGCGTGCGACTCCACCCTCAGATTTCGGCGCACCCCTCACACGCTTCGTGGCCCCGTAGGGAGCTCTTCCGAAAGCCCCAGTGGCAGTACCCGCATGCGAAACCAACCTCCATGTCAGTGCGCCCCTCACACGTCTCATAGTCTTATAAGGAGCTCTACCGAAGGCTCCAGTGGCAGCTCCCGCATGCGGTTCCAGTCGGCGCACCCTTCACATTTGTTGTGGCCCCATAAGGCGCCCCACCGAAGGCCCCAGTGGCAGCGCCCGCATGCGGTTCCTATCTGATTTCGGCGAGCCCCTCGTGCCCCATAGGGAGCTCCACCTAAGGCCCCAGTGGCAGCACCCGCAAACGCTTCCACCCCACCTTCCGGCGCAACCCTCACACGCTTCGTGGCCCCAGAGGGAGCTCCACCGAAGGCCCCAGTGGCAGCGCCCGTATACGGTTCCTCTCTGATTTCGGCGCCCCCCTTCACAAGTCTCGTGTCCCCAGAGGGAGCTGCACCGAAGGCCCCAGTGGCAGCGCCCGCATGCAGTCGCACCCCTCATTCTGGCGCACTCCTCACACGTCTCGTGGTCCCATAAAGGAGGACCAGCGAAGGCCCCAGGGGCAGCGCCCGCATGCGGTTCCACTCCACACTTCGGCGCACACCTCACACGTTGAGTGGCCCCATAAGGAGCTGCACTGTAGGCTCCAGAGGCAGCGCCCGCATGCGGTTCCATCCCCCTATCCGGCGCACCCCTCACACGCTTGGTGGCCCAATAGGGAGCTCCCTCGAAAGCCCCAGTGGCAGCGCCTGCATGCGGTTCCACCCTTCACACGTTCCGTGGCCCCAGAGGGAGCTCCACCGAAGGTCCCAGGGGCAGCCCCCGCATGCAGTTTCACTTCCGCTTTCGGCGCATCTCTCACACGTTTCGTGGGGCCACGGGGACCTCTACCGACGGCCCCAGTGGCAGCGCCCGCATGCGGTCTCACCTGGCGTTTCGGCGCACCCCTCACACGCTTCGTGGCACCAGAGGGCAGTTCCACTATCCACGCTGGCACACCCCTCACACGTTTCGTGGTCCCACGGGGACCTCTACCGACGGCCCCAGTGGCAGCGCCCGCATGCGGTCTCACCTGGCGTTTCGGCGCACCCCTCACACGCTTCGTGGCACCATAGGGCAGTTCCACCATCCACGCCGGCACACCCCTCACACGTTTCGTGGTCCCACAGGGAGCTCCACCTAAGGCCCCAGTGGCAGCGCCCGCATGCAGTTCCCCCCCGTTTTGGGTGCACACCTCAGACGCTTCGTAGCCCCATAGGGAGCCCCACCGAAGACCCCAATAGCATTTCCATCCTCCATGTCGGCACACCCCACATACGGCTCGTGGTCCGATAGGGAATTTCGCCGAAGGCCTCAATGGCAGCGCCCGCGTGCAGTTCCACACCCATTTCGGTGCACCCCTCACACGCTTTGCGGCCCCAATTAGAGCTCCACCTAAGGCCCCAGTGGCAGCGCGCGCATGCAGTTCCACCCGCCGTTTCGGTGCACCTCTCACACGGTTCGTGGCCCCACAAGGAGCTCCACCGAAGGCCCCAGTGGCAGCGCCCGCATGCGGTTCCATTCCACACTCCGGTGCACCGCTCACACGTTTTGTGGCCCCGTGGGGAGCTCCACCGAAGGCCCCAGTGGCCCCTGTTGCTGGCCCCTTCCTAATCATGTCCATCGCGATGCTCGGAAACTCTGGTTGCAGCGCCCGCATGGCGGCCTCGCCAGATTCTGGCACACCCTTCACTCGCATCGAGGTCCCATAAGGAGATCCACCGAAGGCGAGACTCACATCGACGGCACTCACAACTGCATATGGTTGGGTCCGTCGCCAGGCTAATTTCCCAACCATCCTGTGGCGTTCGCTCCGCGTTCCTCCCCCTCTCCTCCTATCCCTGCCTTTGCCCTCCGCGCGTGTTTGTGTCAGCACAGCCAGCATGCCTACTTCGGCACTCGGCACACACCCCTCGCACGCCTCGGGGCCCCATAGGAACTCCACCGAAGGCCCCAGTGGCAGCGCCCGCATACGATTCCACGTCCATGTCGGTGTACCCCTCACACGCTTCATGGCCCCATAGGGAGCTCCACCGAAGGCCCCACTGACAGTGCCCGCATGCGGTTCCACCCCGATTTCGGCACACCCATCACACGTTTTGTGGTCCCATAAGGCGGCTCCACCGAAGGCCCCAGTGGCAGCGCCCGCATGTGATTCCACATCAATTTCGGTGCACCCCTCACACGCTTCGTGGCCCCGTAGGGAGCTCCACCGAAGGCCCCACTGACAGTGCCCACATGCGGTTCCACCCCGATTTCGGCACACCGCTCACACATTTAGTGGTCCCACAGGGAGCTCCACCGAGGGCCCCAGTGGCAGCGCCCGCAGGCAGTTTCAGCTTCCATTCCGGCACACCCGTCAAACGTTTCGTGGTCCCATAAAGGAGTTCCACCGAAGGCCCCAGAGGCAGCGCTCGCATGCAGTTCCACTCCCAATTTCGGTGCACCCTTCACACGCTTCGTGGGCCCCTACTGAGCGCCACCGAAGGCCCCGGAGGCAGCGCCCGCGTGCAGTTCCACCCTGAACAATTAGCCTGAGGAAGGACCCAACCATATGCAGGCGCGAAGGATATGAGACGGAGGAGGGGGGGGCCGCGGTGGCCCAAGCCCCCTGGACCCGCGCGGGCTCTTGTTTCAGGCGAAGGAGCTCCGCGTGCCGATCTGGGGCGCGCTGGATTCGCCTCCGATCCACCGCGGCCCTGTCCTCGGTGTCCCGCAGAGGCCCATGCAAAAATGATTTTCTTTTTCCGATATCAGACGGACTTGGAATTTAGAATCCGCTGCTCGCGGCTCCTCAACAATCCTGACCCTGAATTGGACCCCGCTGCCCTTCGGGGGCATCTGTGCGGCGCCGCAGGGGCTGCGCCGCCCGGAATCCCCCCGACTCGCGCCCGTCGTCCCGGGTGAAGACTTCGGGCAACGAGCGGGGGTTATCAGCTGCGGGCGTCGCCCGGCGCGCACCCGCGGGCCAACGGCGCCAGCTTGAGCCGCAACGCGCGCTGGCGGAGGCGTGGCCTCCGAGACGGCCAAGGGAGACCTCCCAGATCTCCCCGATGAGCCCCAAGAGGGCCACAGGTAATCTCCAAAAGAGCCCCAAGGGGTCTCAAAGAGGCCCACCCTCCACCCCACCCTCGACCCCGCCCTCCCTCCACCCCCCCTCCTTTTTTGCCACAGATGGCTCCACGAGGGCCCTAGATCGCCTAAGATGGCCTTCAAGATTGGTCAAGACAGCCGAGCATGGCTAAAAATAGCTTCCGCCAGACCTCCAAGAGGCCTCAGGATAAC